CAAGATTCGACTTTTCTTTTACTAGTTTTGGATGTGATTATGCATTCTTTATTTGGATTGATTTCTCTGGTTGTTTACTTGATTACCGAAAGCTTGATGATGAAGAAAAACGAAAGCTAGTTTGTTTGTTGAATTTTAATGCAGGAACTGACATTGAATTTTGTGCTTCGTTGCTTAATCTTTTGCGGATTCGTTATTCAATAGGTGATGCACTATGTTATTTGTTTTGTTTTCTACGGTGCCAGTTCAGAATGTTCGGCTAACCAAAGAGAACTATGCTTTGAATATTGATTTATTTTGAATATAAAAATAGGAATTAGTCTTTTTTGTCTAATGTTTTGATCGAATTTGAATCAATAATAAACCAAAATTCTATATATTATTTATTTATTTATTATTATTATTATCTCATGAAGAGTAAGAGTTCTTTTGTCTACTACATCGTAATCCTATAAAAAATTTATTTGTTTGAAAAAAAGAGAAGTCAAAAAGTGCAACTACTTCTTTTCTTTTTAGGATATTTTCTCATTTGACGGTGAGGATTCTTATTGTTCCAAACTTCCAATCATAATCATGAACTGAATCAGAATAATAACTATTAATATGTTTTGAAAACCAATTAAAAACCAAAGGGAAGATAGCCTAACGGTAAATCTGTCGCGACAGTGAAAGTTTGGGAGTTGCAGATCCCAGCTTCGAATCCAAGTGAGGCCCGTTGGTGTTCTCGGAGATACTAGGCTGCTGGGGGCGAAGCTCCGTTGGCGTTGAATTTGATTGCAGATGGCCCCCAGCTTCAGTAGGACTCACTGTCACAAAGTGACACGTGGGGCCGACATTCCTGAATAATAAAAAAAAATTAAAACAATACATGCATACATTGTATTCTAGACATTAAAAATAAGCTTTTGACATGCAATGAAATCACTAATCGCATTCGCACATGCTTCACAATATAATGGTTGAGAATTCTGCTTACTACTCTGTAGGGGTGGGCATTGGGTGGGTCGGGTGGATTTTGACCATAAAATGCACCCACCCGCGCTTAAACGGATTGATAATTTTTAACCCACCACCCACCCACATTTAGTCTCGGGTTGGGTCGGGCGGATGGTGGATGATGTGGGTGGGTTTGTGGGTTCACCCACATCACAATTTATATAATATAAAGGAGTCAACTTGACATGATAATAGGTGAAGAGAATCATCGAGGGAAACCAGAAGTTGAAATAGGGCGAAAAATGTCGAATTAGTTCTTAAATTGGATAGAAATTCTATTATGAAAGAGTTTTCTACAGATTGAGACGATTATTAGGTGCAAGGAACTAAGGAAAATAATTCCACAAAGGAAAGAGCGTTGATCTAGGCACAAGAATTAGAGGAAAAAGTAAAGGGAAGAAGAGGGGATCTCTATTTGGAAGGTTGGCTTTGAGGTTCAAACTCCAGGAGCAGTCCGAGTTTATATCTAACGTCTCCACTCTCCTCTCTCTAGCGCCAACGACTTTGATTTTGTTGTTGTTGGGTTGAGCGAGTCACCCGCACACTCACCCACCACCCGGCGGATGACTCCCAGTGCAACCCGTCACCCACCCACAGACCCACCCACTTAAAGAAATTCGGGTCAAATGCGGGTGGGTCGGCCCAAACCCGCGGATGATCCGCCCGCATGCCCAACCCTACTACTCTGCAATAAAAAATAGTAGTAGTTTTCATTTATAGTATTCTCTTTATATATCATGTTTGTTTTGCTTGAAATGTAAGGACATTATTAATATATATGAATGTGAAGTTGGTTTACTATTGTCTACATAATTGCATTTTTATATTCCAAATTTAATTAAATTACAATTTAGTCACTATAAAATTGAACATACATTTTATATTTTGATACCCCAAATTTAATTTTAATATAAAATTATTGAACAATTATGTTTTGGTATCTTAATTTTATGAGTTTTCGTACCTACAATTTTTTAAATTTACTTGGTCGCATGTTTAGATTTCACTTGAATCCATGAATCAATCCACCATATCATAAAATATAAATTTAGTTTGTACCATACAAGATGTTGTATCACTCAAATGTAGGAGAAGATTCGACCATTTTGGTCTTCCATGGGATTTTTACTTCAAAAACCCCATTGCCACCATAAACATGTATGCCGACAGGGGGTCCCCTTGTCGTAAGCTCTGCTTAGCTTCAAATCTCTCACAAAGTCCTCCATTCAAAGCCACATTGATTACTGGAGTACAAATAGAGGCCCTTAGAAGTTTAAGAATATCAATTGTGAACCTCATAGCCTCCAAAACGGCAAACAAAACCCCAGTGCACAGAATTGAATGCCTTCGTTATGTCTATTTTAACTAAACATCAAAATGATAGATTGGTTCCGTGATAATCCTTTACTGGCTCTGGATCTAGTAGGATATTGTCCCCAATTGATCTCCCCTTGATAAATGCAGCTTGCGACTTGCTTATAATTTAAGGAAACACCACGACAAATCTATTAGCAATGATTTTAGAAATACGTTTGTATGTGGTGTTACAACATGAGATATGACGAAACTCTGACATGCACACAGAATTAGGAAGTTTGGCTGCCAGAGTGAAGATGGTCGAGTTGATTGTTGGTGGCATGTCACCAATTGAGAATAAGTTTAAGACTACCTCCTCAACTTCTCTACCCACTATACCCCAATGCTTTATTGTTTTTTTAAGTTTTTTACACTACAACAAAACAGTGATATAGCGACGGTCATACGGGCTTTTAACGACGGTCAGAACCGTCGCGTAACTATTTAATGACGGACAGCAAACCGTCGCTGACTCGGCAGTCCTTAAATTTTTTAGTGACGGTTTTGGTCGACCGTCGCATTGGCCGTGGGTAATTTTAGGGACGGTACAAACCCGACGCAATCTTTTGGACAACTGTCGTTAAACTAGTATTTCATAAATTAATTAAATTATTTAGTGACAGATCTGACCGTCGCTAAAAGAAACAGTCGTCGCTAAAAGATACAGCCTTTAAAGAACCCCCTGCTTTAGGAATACAACCTGCTTTGATATATATATATATTTTTTTCATAGGAAGCCTGCAGTGATTTTCTGAATAACAAATCACAAATATACAAAGTACAAATCCACCTGCTCTAAATTACCATATAAAAAATATCAACCATCAATCCTTCAATTCTGGAAGAATCAAATCTACTCAAACCACTAACAAAAGTTCAAAACCTGTAATCTAAAGTTTACTACTCATTTAAACTACTTACAAAATTGTAGAATTCCCACCTACAGTCCCTATTAGCTCCTTATAATTCCAAATCAAGTCAGATGCCTTTGAAGCAACAAAGATCACCTTTCGTCATTAACTTGCAGCCCTGCATAATCAACAATATAAATCATTTAAACTAAGTTCTCATAGCTCATTATGATTAACAAATCAGAAAATCAGAATGCAGGATATGCAGGCAATGGGATAAAAAATTTCAGAAGGCAACAATGGAAAGCCTTTAGATGACTTATTAATCTGAAAATGCATTCTGTAAATTGCACCGAGTAGTATCTTTTAAAGAGTGCTACCTCTGTTGTCTCGACCGCCAGTCGAAGAGTGGGCAGAATGCTGAGCACTGAGCAGTGGAGTCAAAAGAGCGCTGAAAATATAAACAAGATAAAAAAAAGAAAAGAAATGCCTAGATTATTTACAGGACTAAGAGTCAGAGTTCAATTTGTAAGGCATAAGATGGCCAAGCAGAGTATATGGTACATGGCTAGCAAGATCGTGAGCTAATCAGTCATAAGAGTGGAAACAGTACCACTATTTATCCAGAATCAATCTAAAACTACTGTAAGTTCATGAAAATAAAGTTCAACAATTTAGCTTTCTAGCCTGTTCTAGTTACTTACCAAGATTTCGCTAGTGGAATAATGCTTCACCGGGCGAGGCTGGTTGTTGTTTAAATCCTAATGATAGCCATCAAGATGATGATGATAACATATTAAGCAGCAAACAAAATATATGGGGTCCAACACATAATTCCTCAATTCTCTACTCAAAAAGACCAAAAGAAAAATATATATGCATCAATTCTCTACATAATATATGGATGAATAGGACATGCATACCTTGCAAAATTGTTGACCAGATGAAGAAATACTTAACTTCTTCCTCACTTTCAACAACACATCTCTATATGAAGACCTCCAACCCCTTTCATAAAAAAACAAATCAAGAGAGACAGTGTCAAAACCCAACATCAAAGACATAATAATCCTCAGTTCAATCAAACATCATAACCACTGTCTGGAAACGAAAATACCTCCATTGGAGAACAGTCTCTTCCATAAACCTTGCTACCAGTTTGAGCATTCTTCTTAGGCTGAAACGTCCTACGATTTCTTCAAAACCAAAACAATTATCTCTTTAAAAGAACAAGTTACAACTTTACTGTTTCATAGAGTCACATCAAAACACTGTCACTTGGTTTGCTTTTTTATAACTTACCTACTGTTACTTAGTTTGCTTTTTCAGAACTTGGAGATTGATTTCCTTCTTTTGCCGTCGTTCCGTTCCCTTCTTTTGCCTTTTCGGTTCTCGATCTCTGATTGGTCCTTCTTCTGACACGGACAAGCGTCAAATCGGAGGAGTGGCACTCTCGTAATTAAGGGTTTCCACCAGTCATGTCATAGGTGTTCTCTCCGAGATCTTTGGCCTGCCAATAAAGACTTTTTCCATTGCCTCTCTCTCTTCGTAGCTTTTCTATCCTTCCCCTCCCTCTCACATACCTCTTTCCAGAATCCCAGCCACCCACTCTCCTCTCTCTCTCTTGAAGAAGAAGAAAATGGAGAGAGAGAGAGATAGAAGACTCCCCTGTCAAGCCAGAAGGAGGAGGAAGGAAGGATCTGATCAAGCCCAGCGATGGCAGCAACGGGAAGGCCGGCGATGGCGTCGACGGAAGGTCTGCCATGGACGCCGACGATGGTTTCGACGACGACGACTAAGGTAAGAGGCGTTTTCCTTTTTTGCTTATGAGCTCTCTCCTCTCTCTCTCTTGAAGAAGAAGAAAATGGAGAGAGAGAGAGATAGAAGACTCCCCTGTCAAGCCAGAAGGAGGAGGAAGGAAGGATCTGATCAAGCCCAGCGATGGCAGCAACGGGAAGGCCGGCGATGGCGTCGACGGAAGGTCTGCCATGGACGCCGACGATGGTTTCGACGACGACGACTAAGGTAAGAGGCGTTTTCCTTTTTTGCTTATGAGCTATATTTTTTTATGGGTAAACAGCTTGCTTTCTCTGGCGGGTCTATTCACGTCAACTTACCACCGTATTAGTTTCTACATTGATTGGGGTTTGGATCATCCGGTTTTCCTAATTATGGGTCACGATGATCCGCGTAAGAATTTGGGTTTCCCATTTTGCTTAATCCATCTGTCGAAATTGAGCAACGAATAGTCCCTGAAATGTGGGACCTTTACCACATTGTCTGCTGATTTGGAAGGAGAAGGGGGAAAAAACTATCCTCTTCTTTTCCTGTAGTTGATGGCCATGGTTCGAGTTCAAAGTCCTGCAGATGTTATCTTTCTCCATTACCATTAGGCCAACCCTTACCGAAGTTGTATGCACAATGACTTCGTGTTACAGGATGCGGTGGTTAGGCCACTTGCAGAGTTGGATTTTGAGGCCTTGCAGAACATTCTACCCGAGCTTCCTTTATGGGTGAAATGCCCGGACTATGAACGAGTAAGTAATGGCTAGCACTTTCTGATCAGCTCATTTCTCTTAGCTATTTAGGTCAGTGAGATTAGGTCAGTCTTTTGCTGCTTTAATGATGGGGGTTTTGCAGGTGGACTGGTTGAACAAGTTTCTCTTGGACATGTGGCCTTACCTTGATAAGGTTACACATTGTAACTTGATGATCAATTTACTGATGCATTTCTGCCGCTAATTAAGTTTTAACCTTCTGAGTTTGGTATGATCATGGGCAGGCCATTTGTTCTATAATTAGAACCACTGCACAACCTATCTTCAAGGAGTATATTGGGAAGTATGGCATTGAAGCCATTGAGTTTGAGCATCTGACACTTGGAACTCTTCCTCCCACACTTCATGGTGAGATTATTAATTTGACTACTACCTGTAATTCCAAAATGTTGGTGGCTGTTGATCGAAGTTGAGTTCATTTTCCATGTACTGAACTGACATAGCTTTGCTTGGGAAACTTCGTTTCAGGTCTCAAAGTGTTCGACACAAATCAAAATGATTTAGTCCTGGAACCAGCAGTTAGGTGGGCTGGCAATCCCAACATAACTTTGGTGTTGAAATTGAAGTCATTAGCCGTTACTGTTCAGGTCAGCAAGAAAGCCTATCCTGGCCTACAAGAGTGACTGAATATGAATCCTTTTTTTGGGAGTTCTTTAAAGCAAAACATAACTTAAATTTGCTCATCAAAATCGACAATGCTGCTTCTACTGTAGTTGCTTGATCTGCAAGTGTTTGCAGCACCAAGGATATCATTGAAGCCTCTGGTACCTACATTCCCATGTTTTGCAAACATTGTGGTTTCCTTGATGGAAAGAGTAGGTTTTCCAAACTTGAATGAGGTTTTCTTTAACATAAACCGGTTTTGGTTTAACCATTTGATGATTTCTGACCGCTGACCTCTTATTTGCAGCCTCATGTAGACTTTGGGCTGAGGATTCTTGGAGGGGATGTCATGTCCATACCCGGTCTTTATAGATTTGTTCAGGTGCTATGCTGGTAATGCTTTAATGGGTAGCTTTGTAAGAAGCTGGTCGTTAGTTGATGTTACTTGTTAGACAAGGCATGAACCTTGGATCACCTGACTGTTGGATTGTCCTTCAGGAAACCATAAAAAAGCAGGTGGCAAGCATGTACCTTTGGCCCCAGACGCTTGAAATACCCGTCCTTGATCCTTCAACGTGAGTGGAAACATTACATTTTGAAGTAGTTTGTCCATTTTGTTCATACTATGTGGAAAACCCTGATCCAAATCCAAACCCTTTTTCGTCTTGGCATTCTCAGAGTGGTTGTGAAGAAGCCAGTAGGGCTGCTGCATGTGAAGGTCATGCGGGCGATGAAACTGATGAAGGCTGATATCATAGGAACCTCCGATCCCTATGTGAAGCTCAGTTTGAGCGGAGAGGATCTACCTACAGTTAAAAAGACCTCAATCAAGAAGCACAATCTGAATCCAGTATGGAATGAGAACTTCAGGCTTATTGTTAAGGACCCCGGTTCTCAACTTCTTCAACTTCACGTGTATGGTTGGGATAAGGTAACTAAAAAGAATTTTGCTAAAATGCTATCATGCCTGACAGCTTCTGGTAGATGTAAATCTTAGCTGTTGGATTAACGTGGTGACAATTTTACAATTTATAACATCCACTGTAATTCAACTAACCATCTCATTCAGTCTTTGTGCTGCTGCAACATGATATAGGTTTCCTGTTTATGGTTCTAACTTCTAACTAGGTTGGTGGCCATGACACATTGGGGATGCAAGTTGTACCCTTGAAAACACTCACTCCACAAGAGACAAAGCAACTAACTCTGGACTTGCTCAAGAGCACCGACGCATCTGATCCTCGCGACAAGAAGCAACGAGGCAGAATCATGGTGGAGCTGACCCTCGTGCCTTTCAAGGAAGACAGTTCCATCTCAGGCCGCTTGGATCAAATAAATGGCAGCAGGAAAGGAAGTGGGAAAGGAAGCGAGCTTGTGGACAACGATGACGATCCATTCAATGGATCAGGTTTGCTTTCAGTGACAGTACAATCAGCAGAGGATGTAGATGGAGAGAGCCATAACAACCCTTATGCTACCCTGCTCTTCAGGGGAGAAAGAAAAAGAACCAAGGTTATGCAACGTTTTTTAAGCACATCCCACCACTTAAGAACACTAAAGCAATTACATCCTGATGCTGTTTGTGTGACATTATTGTTGTTGGTTCTGTTGCAGATGATCAGGAAAACCCGCGATCCACGTTGGAACGAGGAGTTCCAGTTCATGATCGACAGTACATCAATTTTCTGTAACTTGATGGAGTGGATATAACTACTCAATAATTTGATGTTACAGGTTGTTTGCTTAGATATGTGAAATCAAGGATGAACTGGATTACTTGAATTTCCTCCATCAAATTATTGAGTAGGATATATCAATGTAATGACTCAATAAGTTGCTTGCAGACGGCTCCATGTCGCTGTCGACCATCCAATTATCTGTGTTGCGATGATAGGTTTGTTTGGGATGAAGCGAAGTATCCTACGATGTCTCCTCTGAAGGATATCGTTGATGGAATTCATAGTTCAGTAGTGCAGATTGAAGATGATCTCAAGGTGACTGCCTGCTGGTTTGCTGAAACTTTTTGTGTAATTGGATTTGAACTTTGTGAGACTGAAGGAGATCTCCCGCTTCCTGTTTTAGGTTCGTCTAGCTGAGTATAATAATGTTCGCAGGCAGCTCAATGCTATTAATCGCAAGCAAAGTGGCAGGTACAATCTTTTCCATTTGATTGCTGTGTGTACAAGAAGTCAAGAAGTATAGCTTTCATTTTCTTAACCAAGGGAGGCATTACTTTTCATTTGTCTGTTCAGCTTGGCTGTTCGCGATCTGTCCAGTTTGGTGAAACCTGAAGATATAATTTCCTCTGAACATCTCATAACCCTTCTGCCAGTTGTCCCCAAGTATTCACAGAAGGACTGGTTGGCTAGCTATGAAACTCTGACTAATTATGTGGTAAAATCCATGTCTCTCGGCTTGAATAGTAGTTGAGTTGCTTTTTCTATATCACTTGAGATCTCTAGGACTGACAACTCTAGGTTTAGGCTTATCGTTCCAGTACTTGAGTCACTGTTACTTCTTTTCTTGTATTTGTGCTTTGGCATCTTATCCTGTTCGGCTCTTCCAGGTTCCAAGGTCGTCCAAGAAGCTGTGTGAAGATAACGAATATGCTCTCTACACTGTAACACTATTCCGTCGTGTGGCAGACAATTTCAGAACAACTTCTCGGGAGAAGGGGTTCCAAGTGAGTAATATGTTTCCGTGCATTTGATATAGTGTCCTTTCATGCATGTAACAATTTTTAAAATCCTACTTGTAGTCATCATGTGGCTTGAGATGTGTTTTCATGTGTTGAACGAAGGATTTAGTTGGGAATTTTCTGATGTGGCTGTTCTGATCATGTGCTTCAGATTCGTGACTTTGAATATAGCTCCGAAGAAGATGAGTTCTTTTGTGGATTTAGTTTACTTTCCAGTTTCCGTGAGTTTGGATCTTTAACTTATTGTCCTCTGCTAATCCTATCCTACGTTTTCTTATTTACTTTTCGTGATTGACAAGAGTCAAGAGAAGAGGAATTGTCGCTGTTGTGTTTTTTCGAAGGTAGCAGAGGCGACCCACTGCTCTCTAGGTAAGCCTCTTCTTTTTGGATTTTGTTCTGTTTATATTCTGGGTCTCTGCCTTTCTTTGATCTGGTTCCTATTTGTTTTCCGCCAAGGGAAAAGTGAGAAGAAGTCGCCATCGCCATTTCTCTCTCCATCTCATGAAGAAGAAGAACCAGCTTCAGGAATGATCTCCAACTCGCTCCTGCCGGCTTCAGTTCCTCTCCCTTCTTCTCTTGAATCTAACCTTTTATTCTTCTTTCCCAGGTTATCTCTTTCGTTTTTCAGATTCGCTTGGCACAAAGCTCCCATCTTTCTATATTTTTTCCCGACAAATCCGATCTCTTTTCTGGTGGTCAGTCCATGAAGGCAATGGAAGGAACCTCCCCAATGATGACAGGTCACTAGCTCCTCTCTACCTTTCAAATTTCATCATGGTATTTATATGTATTTGCCATTCGTTTGGCAAGTTGGATTTATGCCTTCGTCACAAACTCACGATTGAGTGATGTTCTGCTCTTTTTTGCTGTGAATTGATGGAAACTTAGGCTGAACAGTTACTTCACGGTCCGTTCTTCACTTAAAAGTTCCCTCTGCAACTTCCTTTTTGTTCTTTTTAAAGCTCTGTTTTACATGCCCTCTCTTTGCTCTTTAAGTCATGTGTTCATTATTAGTCTAACGAGTTCAGTGTAAGTTCCATAGTTTATGACCTATTTGGAATGCTAAATTTTCAAATATGCATTTCTTGCGTGAGATTTAGCCCTTTAACATAGATGGACGCCCGAGGAGAGGTGGGTAGGAGCGAGCCTGAATGTTAGAGTAGAGAGGAAAAAGGCTTGCTGCATGAGATCTAGATTCGGGGTTGTTCTTTGTGGATTTCATAGTTCTGATACTTATGTTTATATGTTTCAAGTCAATCGACCTCTGGTACTGCTATTATTTAGCCTTTTTCCATCTGTATATCCTTCTGGTTAGTGGTAGTAAACTGACGTGTATTTGTCCTTTCATACAAATCAGTTTAGCTCCAACAGATGGCAGAACTCCAACAGTAAACTGAGGCAGTAGTGAAAACACAGTTAGAGTGAAATGATCGATGTGTTAAATGGTTCCTAAGAACTCAAACAGTGTTCGTGGCTGATTGGTAGGCGACCCAATGGACATCAATGGCAGGACTTTTCAGGGTGTGGGATTCCTGAACAAGAACTTATGCCGAAGCCGCGGAAGGAGAAATTGACTATGGTGATTTTAAGTTAGTTCTCTTAGCTGCCAGTGCTTCTCTTGCCATTTATCTGCATCTTTCCACTGTTCATGGTAAAAAGGATAACATTGTTCCTATCTTTTATTGAGTGGGTTGTCAGTGATTTGATTGCTTCACGATTATATATTCTTTATTCCTTATCGTTCTTTCTGAGAATTGCTTACTTCAACAGGCTACATCCTACCCAGGAAAACACCATTGCCATATTCGATAAAAAAAAGACATTTGTAGGCAGATTTCAGCATACACTAACCACGACTTGATCCAAATACCACCCTAAAAATGTCTCTGCCATTATTCTATCTTGACAATAGGAGATCCTTAACAAGTAGAAAGAAAGCTCTTTACTGCAAAATGCAGAAGTATGCCTTCTTTCCCCATACTCAACCATATACGGAAGCATTATGGTAGCCACCAAAAGGAATACCCTCTATTTCCTTTGGGTCCTAATTCTTGAGTTGGGAGAGCGCACAAGTAACTTAAATGTGACGGAGTGGCTTACCTTCTGTACCCAAAGTTTATAACCAGTATAACTTTGTAGACTTCTCTAGAATTTTTCATATCATAATAGAAATTATGTATATTGTCAACTTCAACTTGACGCGAAGCGGAGTTAGTGTGCTTATCTAAAGTAAGCCCTTAACTGTTATATGTTTGTAGCCAGATGCGCAAGTGCAGGATATTTTCCTTGATTAGTTCAATTGATTCAAATGTTTGCTTTTTTCCTCCATGTCTACCGCAGGCAAGAGAGCTTATTCTTTAGCATGGGGTTTGCAGTATGTGAATCTTTTCATGATCAGAACTGGTTATATCATCTTAGTTGGCCAGGCTCTTAAGGTGAGCCGATTGAGTTGTCTCTCTTGGTTGAAGCTTTTTCTTTACTGTTTGGTGTATATTTTTGGATGTTTTTTTATTTTCCGGTCATCTTTTGCATGTTAGGTGTGCAGTGTCCGTTTTGCATAAGAAGAAAAAAAAACAAGTTTTTTGCTGGGATGTAAGATTGATGTGCATGGTTCATGATTGGTTTCGCGTGTAATTGCTGCGTTCTGAAAGTTAAATATGATCCTTTGATGTGAAGGAGATAACTATAAAGGTTAACTTTGATGTTTTTCCTTTCATTCGAATTTTTCCTCTGAATAATTAATAGTGATCCCCAGGACATGGTTTTCAAATTGTGTGTTGAATATACAGATTTAACAATCATAATATGACCTCCATTATAAAAGAACAATCATAATATGACCTGTTTTTTGGATGCCGAATGGATGGTTGGTGGCCGAAAATACATGCCCTGTGATGCTTTCGTGTCAAGTTTAATTTCTTCATGTGCTGATTGGTAATGAAGTGTAAATAACTACACCATGATTTATTGTCTTCCTCTTTCTTGAATTCTATGTTCAATCGAATGATGAGCTGTGTTGGTTTGTTCTATTTTCTTTCACTTACAATGGCGTTTCAAGTTTGGATTTATGTTGAAGAGCTTGCTTGGTTTTGTATCTTAGGAATGAATATTTGCACGCCCTAAATTCTGCTACGTAGTCCAACTGTCCAAGTTACTCCCAGCCCACACGAACTCTCGGTAAAACTCTTAACTGACTTCCTTTTTTCATTTTCAAGAGGCATCATTAGGATCAATCTCCATGGACTTTTGTTCCTCTCAGTCTGTGTTCATTGATTACCAAATGGTTCATGATTAAATGATTTTCTGATAGTTGTACGTTACAGATAATTAACCAAATGATTTCCTAATTCAACTAAAGTAATTGTATCAGGGGAAGCTGTATCTGTCGTTGCTGGGGAAGAGGAGGCGATGGAATGGAGGATAGTGCAAATAATGACAATTTTGCATGGTGTGTGATGTGAGTGTTTCGATGCTATCCTAAGTTCCTAACTACCTGTTATTTGGCTTCGGTACTTTTAATATGGCTTTTCACATGGTTTATGTTTGATGATTGCATTGTTGCTGTGTAGAGAATGTTAATATATGCGGAATTTCAAGTGATGTATTTAGTCAATACATGTAATGTGAAGATTTGTTTTTTTTGTTTTTGTGTGTGTTTACTTTTAGTTAGAATGCATGTATTTATTTTTTCCTAACCCACTTATAATCATTCAAAATGTAGGATTAACAATAGTGGACCTGTGGAGGTTGTAAACAAATGATTATGTCCAAATTTTCATTCTATCTTTTGTACCTTATGATTTACTTTGTTCCATAAAAGGCCCCTCTAAAGTGTGTAATTGACTACTTTCAGAGAAGTAAAAAAAAAAAAAAAAAAATAGTAGCAGCTTCTCTGCTCCTCCCTTTGACGGTAGCCCCGTCCATATTCTATTCTAGGTCGAAAAAAATCACATTATCATCACCATAACGTTGGGGAGTTGCAAACCTATCTGACCATCGGAAACTTGCCGGAATCAAAGCTGAAGGGCATCAACCTTTGTTTCTGCTGGAAGCAATAAGAGGTCAAAGGCCAATAGCAACCTCTATTTCTGCCGCAAACCTATCCTGTCATCAGAAACTCTCCGGGAATCGAATTAGAAGGGCTGCAGATGACTAGCCACGACGGTGGCTTGAAGCTCTGATTTCGTCACAATGATTTGGTAGCTTTTCCACCAAAATTGTAATAGAAGGAAAACGAAGATTGAAGGAGCAAGAAGAATAGTAAATGAAGGACAATTGTGTCTTTTGACCCTAAAAAGTGTTTGGCTATTATTTTCACAAATAGTACAATCCAAATACAATGCAAATGCAACCGTTGAGAGAATGGCAATCATAAAAAGAATGTTATTTCCAGTGCACTATGTATGCGTATTATTAATTCAAATGTTTAAATTATAAGTAATTATACATTTAGTGTTATTAGGATATAATTGATATGTTTACAGTGTGTGTTACAACACACACCTCCCGACGCTGGGAGGTATATAGATAACAGAATGGTTAACTTGGGTAGCGATCCAAAGATTCATTTTACCTCTCTTTTGTTGTTTCCGTTATTTAGCAGAAGCTAACTAGCTAACTAATATGATCCCCTACCTATTGCACCCGTCGTGTAGCGCGGGTTTTTCCTTACTAGAGTCACATAAACTGCGTTAGTACGCCATGTGTTCAAATCTAATGCTTATTGCGGTGTAGTGGTTATAATTTGACTTAGAAAAATAGATACTTCTGCGATTTCAGGTACATTTATGTCTTCCATTTAGGTCAACTCTTGAACAATGCACTAGAGAATGCTTATTAATATTGTACTCAGCTTATTCATTCCCCGTATGCTGTGCATTTCTACACCGACTGCATATTTGCCCTGACATTGTCCGAATGCAAATCCTGATCATCCCGCCGCGAAGCGCGGGCTTCCTTACTAGTTACAATTCAAGAAGATAACCAAGTCAGAGGCCGAATGGAGAGTAGATAACCAAGTCAAAAGTAAACGAATGGAGGGTGACATGCATCATTAGGTTAAAGGTAAGATAAGGAAGCATATATCTCCACTTTTCAAAACAAAATCGACTTCATATTACCCATCACTAGCAGTTCGGGAAGCATAACATTTAATAAGGAAACACACAGCTCGGGTAGCATATTCAGGTGCTGTCCTCATTTTTTCAAGGCTGCATCTTTTTGCATTGAATTAGCAGCTAAAGAATCAGGGGCGGAGCTACCTTGTGCCTCGGGGGGGCCCCGGCCCCCCCGAGAATTTTGGAGATCGCGTGTAAAAATATCGGGAATTTTGAAAATTCTGAAGAAGTTACCTATTGTAGAATAACAATAACGTGCAATAATGAGTAACAACTTTTGGGTCTAGTCTAACGGAATGCAGCTACTTGGTATTTGTGAATACCAGTACCATGGTTCAATCCCTGGTACCAACATTATTTTTTTAGTTTTCCTACTTTGGTTGAATTTTTGTTTAAAATTTAGATTGATCACTTAACTTTTGTACTTATTCAAATACTTTTTAATTTCAAAGTTCAAACTAGATAATGAAATTTTGGAGCTTATAATAATTTTCTAATTTAGAATTAAATTTTGGAGTCTAGATAATTAAATTTTGAAGCTTATGACTCATAATGTAAATATTTTCTTAATTTTTTTTACGAATATTATACAATAAAATCCGGCCCCCCGACCACTAGATCCTAGCTCCGCCCCTGTAAAGAATCACAAAACAAATGAAGACTCAATTCAATCCATCAGAACCAAGCAAACTTTCTACTACCACTACCTCTACCTATAGATAGCTTATTAACTACCATATATATATATATATATATATATAGGTGGCTACTTCGGTACACTCACTTTTTTGGGTGCATTCAGTGCACCCATTTCTAAAAGTGTCCATATTACATAAAATTTTGAACTTTAATTAGTACTCTCAATCTAACATGATGATATGACATAAAATCATAACAAATCAATCTATTACCCTAATCCCTTAACCTTCAATTTTGAATCCCAATGCAAAATCCCAAACTGTAAACCTAAACCATAACCCTAAACCCCTAAATACTAAATCCTTCAAATTAAAGTAAATTTTAAATGATTTTTTTTCAAATTCATGGGCTTATTATTCATAACATCATAAGCAACAATTGATACCATTTTGACATGAATTGCATGCTTAGAATGATGATTATGAAGCGGGTGCGCTGAGTGCACCCGAAAAAGTGGGTGCGCCGAATACGCCACCATATATATATATATAGAGAGAGAGATGGGGGAGGGAGAGAGAGAAAGAGATGGGGGAGGGAGAGAGAGAAAGTTGAATAAAATGTTCCAATGATGACCCTAAGCGTTGCTCTCCAAAGCTAAGGATAAGCTCAATCCCCTATTTGGTCACGTCAAGTTTGCTGGAGGTCTTATATTCCACATGCATATGCAGTACAAAACATGAATGAAATGAAATCAAGTTCCAAAATACATTGTAAAACAGAAGCGGAAAATGCTAAAAACATAGCTGGTATGAAATCCGTACATATAGAAAGCACATAATACTATATATTTACCTTAAAACCCATATACTGCTCATTTAGTTCTATGTCCAGATCATCTATGACATTCAAGTGCTTTGAAACAGTTGGTTTGCTCGCCCATCATGAATTTCGTAGAATTCAGTCTCAATCTGTTGAGCAGGGTTGTAACTTGTTAGAATAAATTTCCATTTTACAATTTACTTGTGTTTCCGTACTTGTAGAACAGTTGGTACGTAGCATGGTTGTCATGTCGGTGGTATGCCTATATGCTCGCCGGTAATTGATTATGTGTGAATAAGACAACAAGGTCCATTAACAACCAAATCATTATAGTTTTCCACTAGAAATAATTTCAAGTGGGCAATTGATTATAAAACAGAGCGAAACCTTCATAAGGCATTCTTAACAGATAAAACCTCGTAGACAAATTCACTGTCATTCAAATGTTTTGTAAACGAAACTATCTTAGCAGTAATAATCAAACATTACGAATCTACACCTGAGAAATTGCAGTTGATGGCCCAAAGCTTCAAGCATAGCTGCGCATGTACATGGGGAGTTCAGTCTGATACAGGAAATAGTTCAATGTGATTGAACAGAAAGGGAAAACATATTGCATGCAACAGAAAACCAACTTCAAACTAGACCAAAAGAGATGTGAAATACCTGTCACCCTCCATTGATCACTTTTCCAGGAATTGCCACCTGTTTGACAATGACAAAGAAGCACATTTGAGCCAAGAGAAGACTGAGGAACAAGAGAAGACTGAGGCTTCACCTGAGCAACTTGTTGATAGTGATGAAGGAGATGATGGATACAGAGTCTCGCTTTTCCGTCCACGAGATCTGAATCCTTCCTTAGATCCTTCCACATTGGAGGAAGATCGAGTTTCCAGCCAGAGCAATTCCACAGGAGCTTAATAGAAACCTTAAAAAAATGAACAAACAAGAACAGAGTTAGTTCAAACAATGCAACTATGCAACTACAAATAAGAACTCTAACCCTTTGCAAAGTAATGTTATTTCGTAGGTAAGGGCAACAAAATTGCAGAAGCACTTAGAAGGAATAACGACTGTTATCTTATATGAACAAACAAGAACATTGTTAGTTCAAACTTCCATAACCAATCTGTCAATAAGACCCGATATTAACTAGAAGTAGCATTGATAGACCGATAATTATACATGTTTTCACCCCTATTCTGAAAGCCGTTTGTGATGAGGAATCTCGTGTTTTAAGCCGATTTCACGCTAGGTTGTGTGTTTATGTCATATTTCAGGACCCGGCGTTGGAATCGAGACGGAGAAACGAGTTCTGGGTCGAAAGGAGCGAAGTTGGGACGAAGGAGGCTGTTGGACCAAAATACCCGGCCAAAGGAAGGAATACCCGACCGGGTATTTTCTGGCCTTGGTCGGGTATTTTTCACTTCGGGCGTCCGTGAGAAACAGAAGGGGGCCCGGGCAAATGGCTTAAATCCCCGGTCGGGGATTATGAAGTCAGACCGGGGATTTTCCCCTTAATTGAAACAGTGCGTTCTGCAAATACCCGGTCGAAACCCGAAATACCCGACCGGGTATTTCGATCGGGTATCGCGACCAGGCAGTTGATAAAAGGAAGAAGAAGGCCAACATTGAAGGGTTCCGAGTTTTTGAGAGAGAAAGCGATTCCTAGAGAGAGAAAGCGACGAACCAGAGGTCCCAAGTGCCATAACTTGATCTTCATCACCATTGGAGCCCGGCTTGAGCTTGGAGAAGTGCCGATTAAACGTCCAGGAGCAGAAATCCGTCTTCACAGTATGATTTCCGCGTCTGAATCTGCTTTTGCTTCTTTCTCTATGGAGTAGTTCTCCCATTCATCTGGTATGGGGAACCCTAGATTTGTATGCTAGGTCTGATTGTATGAACCCAAGTACAGAGTTTGTGAATTGATTATATTCGATTGAGGTTTGAATGATTGAATGACTTGAATCCTGATCAAATTCCTGTTGTTTCTGCTTTGACCTAGAATGAGAATATCTGCCTAGGTTGATAGAGTATCCTTAATCGAAGGTGGCGAATTGGTGACTTTAGTCGAGGAGCCAATTCGCTATTCTGTACCGAAGTCAATTCGGTAGGGGAGGTTTGGTTCGTTAGGGCCTCAATCTGTTTACTCTGGTGGAGGTTAGTCGCCCGCTAGAGACTCAGATTGAGAGGGTCTGAAGACCTTTAATCGAGACTTCAGGCTAATTAAGAACCTTCGCAGTATAATTTTCATGAAAACTGAACTTGGTAAGTTGCAATCCGACTTAACTGCAGTCTAGGGGGAACCATATCCGGGTGACCTCTCTTGACTTGAACAACCGTTTACTTGCTTTGTGTTTTTGTTTGCTTGAATTTGCACTAAAAGTTCACTGCTAGATAACGAGAATTCACCGAGTAGTCATCACATCTAGGACCCGGGTTGACAATAAAACCCAAACCCGCTATACTACGCTTTAGGAAGTGGTTACACTTGGCCATTTTCTAGAGTGACAGTAGGAGTGAGTCAAGTTTTTGGCGCCGTTGCCGGGGACGGCTAGGTTGTTGAAGAAAAGTGATTTCTGTTACTTTAGCATTTTCATTTTCGCATTGAGTGTTTGTTCTTTCCCACTTGTGCCTTCACGGGTTTGCATTGCTTGATTATGTGCAGATAGTGCATGACCCGTAGCCAGTCGGGAGGTTTACTGCCGTTGAATCCTGAGATTGAGCGCACCTGCAACCAACTTCGGAGACAACAGCGAGCTAGACTGGCTACGGTGGAGCGCAGAGACGGCCACTTGAGCAGTGAATCCGAGGACGAGTACGAGATGCAAGGCGATCAAAACCCACCTCCGGTGAACCAGATCCTGGGGAACGACCCCAATCCCCAGGGAGCTGGGGCCCATCATCATCCACCACCACCACCGGGTCCCACCTTGGAGTACTACTATACTCCACGGATTGCTGACATCCGCCCGGTCATCCTCTATCCGCCCATTCCTGCAAACAACTTCGAGATCAAGCCATGCTGGATTCAACTCATCACATACTCTATCCAGTTCCATGGCTTGAAGGATGAGGAAGCCCGGGTACATCTTTCCCGTTTTCTGCACCTGACGAACGGGTTCAAGCTGAACGGTGTCCCGGATGACGCAATCCGCCTTCACCTCTTCTCCCATTCTCTGGCGGGGAATGCTAAGAGGTGGTTGGAGACCCAGCCCCCATTGTCCATCACCTCTTGGGACGATCTGGCTATCAAGTTCGTGCACAGGTATTATCCGGCATCGAAGACCACAGAGATTCAGCGGGAGATCACTCACTTCCGCCAAGAGCCAGATGAGTCACTTCGTGATGCATGGGAGCGGTACATGGGATACTTCTGGCAGTGTCCCCATCATGGCTTCAGCGATGCATTCACAGTGGGGAACTTCTACAGCGCCCTCACTCCAGACAGCCAGAGGGTGATTAAGTCTCTATGCCCAGGAGGGGATATCCTTACTAAAACTCCACCCGAACTGAACCAGATGATCAGTACCTTGGCTGTCCGAGATCATTCTTGGGGACAGAACAATAGAGGCAGGAATTCCCGGGACCGGGGTGTGCATGCTATGGAGGCCAGGTCCGGGTTAGAGCAGCAGGTGGCTGAGTTGGTGCAGACGTTGAAGCAGCCCAACAGTCTCCTTCCGGGCCGAGGTGTAGCTTCGCCTCCAGTAGCTCAGTGTCAGTGGTGTGAGAGCCCGAATCACCTGGTGGAGGATTGTCAGTCTATGAGGGAGTCTTCTACTCCCCAAGAGCAGGTGGACTTCATCGCCAATGCTCGGCACCTGGACCCATACAACAATACCTACAATGAGGGATGGCGCCAGCATCCCAACTTTGCCTGGAGCAGCAACAACAACAAACCACCTGGTTTCCCAGCACCAGCAGGTGGTTTTCAGCAGAGGCAGCCCTTCCAGGCTAGGCAGGGGCCACCACCACAGCAGCAGCCCTAACATCCGAGGCAAGGGCAGCCATTCTAGCAGCCCTAGCGCCAGTTTGCTCAGCCTCCAGCAGCCGCAGCTCCAGATAATCAGATGGCTGATCTGAAGAATATTTTGGCGACATTCATGACCACCAGCCAGGAGAATTTCACGAGGGTGGACCAGAGCATAGCCTCTTTGGAGGCAGGACAGAGGAACCAGGGTGCTATTCTGCAAGATCTACAGCACCAAGTCGGTATCCTAGCGCGCCAGCTTACTGCTCGGGCCCCGGGGACTCTACCTGCCACCACCATCCCCAATCCACGGGACCCGCACGAGCAGCTGGATGCCATTTTCACCAGGAGCGGCAGGCCTACATCAGCTGATCCTACCCCGACCAGGCAGGAGGAACCACTACCTGCTTCAGCACTTCCAGCCGGTGATGCAGAAGTGCGGGTGGAGAAGGAAGCCCCTGCTCCCAAGCCACAACCAGTGGTGAAGGAGCACGTCCCCCAGCTCCCCTTCCCCACTCGCCTTCACAAAGACAAGCTGGAGACTGAGTTTGCCAAATTTATGGCAATGTTGAAGCAGCTCAACATCAGCGTACCATTTGTGGAGGCACTGTCGAAGATGCCCAAGTATGCAAAGTTCATGAAAGATCTCCTCACCAACAAGAAGAAACTTGGGGATCTCTCGACAGTGCTGCTGAGCGAGGAATGTTCTGCCATCGTGCAGAACAAGCTGCCCGACAAGCGCAAGGATCCAGGGAGTTTTACTATCCCTCTTACTATTGGCAGCATGCATGTAGGAAAGTCCTTGGCGGACCTAGGCGCTAGCATTAATGTCATGCCATATAAATTGTTCAAAAAGCTAGACCTAGGTGAACTTAGCCCTACTAGGATGAGCATTCAACTAGCTGATCGTTCCGTTGTGCATCCTAGGGGTATCATAGAAGATCTGCTTGTTAAGGTGGGTGCATTCACATATCCCGTTGACTTTGTTATTCTTGATATACATGAGGATGTGGATGTGCCTTTGATCCTAGGTAGACCATTTCTTGCCACCGCCAAGGCACTTATTGATGTGCATGTTGGTAAACTGATCTTGCGTGCTGGAAATGAACAGGCGACTTTTTCTGTGACTGAGTTTGATCACTGTGCTATGATTGCTGTCACAGCTGTGCATGCTATTTCTGATCAGATACACGAGCCTGTCGTGTATCCTTCTGCACCTCTCATTTTGCAGGATCCCCCTATCACTCCTTCGCCGCCACTCACCCCAGCCTCACCGCCGAATAAAAAGCTCAAGGAGGAGTGGCGGCCGAAGCAGCAGGTTGCTACGCCTGCACGGAAGAAGGGTGGAGACTACTACGAGCTGGTCCCACCTCCTGCATCACGATCACCCTGGCCATCCGCGTACTCACTTGCCTGTATTCTGCCGGATGGCCAGGTCGAGCTCACCAATGCTGGTGGTTGTACCCGTTGGGTGCACGGTCACCACCTGAAGCTGTACCTCAAGAGTGACGTGGATCCGCTCTTGGAGGCACCTGTTCTTGCGGACCCTTAGTTCCGCCATGGGCGTCCAACTAAAAGACGGTAAAGAAGCGCTTGTGGGGAGGCAACCCCACCACGGTTTGCACTTTCTTTTCCCTTTTCCTGAGTTTTTTGTGTCGTGTCGAGTCAATTGCATGTCTGTAGTGAAGTTCAGGCATCTGTGATGCCTCGATTTGGTGTTTTCGTGCAGGAGAGGTCGAAATTTTGGAGAATGAGAATTTTGGGCGGAAGGGTAAAATACCCGGTCATGAGCCAAAATACCCGACCGGGTATTTTTGGCTCGTGCCCGGGCCCCCTTCTGCCGTCCGGGGCGCAAAAAGGTCTAATCCCCGACCTCAGGCCAAAAATACCCGACCGGGTATTTTTGGCTTGAGACCGGGGATTTCCTGGCCTTAGAACGCTGCGTTCAGGGAACCCCCGATCTCTCGCCAAAAATACCCGGCCGGGGATTTTTGGCGCGAGACCGGGGATCCTCACATCAATGAAACGCAACGTTTGGCCGACCCCCGGTCGTGGACTCGAAAATACCCGACCGGGTATTTTTGAGACCCGACCGGGTATTTTTCCTATTTAAAGGAAACCCCCGGTCATTTCTCTCTCTACCCTCATTTTTTCCAAAATCCCCCCTCTCTCTACTCTCAAATCCTCTCCCCTCTCTCCTCTTTGGCCGCCGCCGGCTGCCGCTATCCGCCGCCGGCCGCCGCTATCCGCCGCCGGCCGCGCCGCCGGCCACCGCCGCCGTCGTCGGTTATTTTCCGGCGACTTTCTGGCGGGTTTCCGGCCACTTTCCGGCGACCCCCCTCAGCCGATTTTTGGCCCCTTCTCGCGTCCCTCACCCTTTTCTCGTGTCCGCACTACAGTTCCACTTGTGTTTCCAGGTGTGGTTCTTATTACTTACTCTTTTTATGGAGAATCGAACTGTAGACTGTAGGACCGAGAACTTTGTTTGCATGCCTGATCTAGAGTAGGGTGGGGGATGCCTTAAGCTTGGTGCGGACAGACCTACGTCAGCACCCTCAGGCCGGAGTGGCACATTCTGAACCTGCTGATCACCCGCTCCATCGTCCCCAACGCCACCGGCTCGCATAAGATTCCGAAGCGGGTGCTGTACGCCATGTCCTGTATGGGGGATCCGGAGCACATGCTCCACTTGGGATCTTTCGTGGCCACCACCTTCTCCCGGTGCCACGGGAATCCTACCCACCTCTTCTGTGGTCCCCTGATCACCCGGTTGGCACGCCAGTTCGGGATCAGCTTCGAGGGGCTTCACGATGCTTCTGAACAGGGCGGCTCCGCACCCCTCAGCCGGGACGTGCTCCACAGCGCACGCCTCCTGGCCACTGATGACATCCGCACATGGGTGGACGGGCTTTCTATGCCCCCCGAGGAGGTGATTGATCTCGATGAGGACGAGGAGGATGCTGACTACTCGGGCGAGGAGGTAGATGAGGATGCTGATGATGATGATGACGGCGCTATGGATGCCGATGACCCGGAGCCCCCGCTCTCCCCACCTGGGGACCTTCAGCCTCGACGGAGACCGGTGAGAGGTGAGTCCTCCTCTGGTCCTTCTGGTCCATCGATGTCCTCCGGCCCGTCTATGGACTTCTTCACGAAGCAGTTTCAGCAGATGGGGCTCCAGTTTCAGCAGCTTGGTCTTCAGAACCAGCAGCTCTTGGACGATCAGGTCCAGTTCTACCAGCAGTATTCGGCCCACCAGGCCGAGTACCGGTCCAGGCTGACGGGTGTCGACGAGCGCCTAGGCCGCTTGGAGACCCACATGGGAGTCACTACTGCTCTCATCGAGCGGGAGAGAGATCGAGGCCGCCGTCTGATGGAGTATTCCGAGCATCTGCTCCATGCTTGTCACCCTCCAGAGGAGCACCACTAGACCACCCGGTGGGAACATTCACCGCCTCGGCAGCCACCGGAGGATGGCGACGACGTCCTCATGAACCAGATCGACTTCTCCGGTCTTGGAGGGCCCTAGGGGCATGTTTTGAGTTTTTTTTTGCCTTTGTCAGCATGCAAACTGTTTTGTGTCGGTTTTTGCTTCTTTTTCTTTTCATTGTTGGATGATGTACTATTGGGCTGACCATTGGACCTAACGTATGTGTTTGAGCTCTTTGGTTTCTTTTAGCTCTGCCTGTGTTCCCGACTGGTCCTCTCTTCAGTCCGTTTCATGCCGACTGGTCCATTTCCAGTCTCCTGCAGTCTGTGCACACCGGTAACATCGTTCCCCTTTCCTTCCCTCTTCTCCATTGAGGGCAATGTCGATCTTAAGTGTGGGGGGGATGTTTATCTTTTGACTGCATTAGCTCTGTTTGTGTGCTTGGAGCCTAGTCCACTGTCCAAATTTTTAAATTTGAGGGCTCCAAGTACGTGTTCCTTGCAATTGCCTGCTCAGTATGCTTTGAATTGACAGTCTCTGTAGTGATTTGCAGTCTAGGGAGGTAGTGTAGCACTATGGAGGATGTTGATGCATTTTAGAAGTCTCATTTCTTCTTCATATTGTGTTGGTTGATTGAGTGAATTAGTGATCTTAGGACCCTTGAATTGTGTGGTGTTGTGGACTCTCTGCCTGTCATGGACTCTTGTATCATGTTTTGATAGTAATAGGTGCTCGAAATGTGCTTTAAAATAACGTCTCCCGTGCGAATAGCGCGAAAGGGTGTAAGGGGAGACGGGAATCCGTTCCCAATTTCCACCTACTACCTCCAGCCCCCTTACATGTCTTTCCCCCGCACGAGGCTCGAGACACCCGCTCCTGGCATGGCCGGTAAGAGCCGGGCTCCCGCAAAACCTTTGCTAGGTGGGAGCCCCCGTTTTCTGCAGAAACAGGTTGGAACCCGTGAAAAAAAAACCAGAAAAACAAGCAAAAAGAAGAAAGAAAAGGGTTCCAACCATCTTCAAAAAGAAAATCGAGCACCTTGAATTAATGTGAGTCCATGATCTTTTGTTTTTGAGAGTCTCTTCATCCACGATTCATTTTTCCTTTGTTCACTATTTGCCATGATGCCGACTCGAGACTAGTGCTCTCGCCGAAGAAGCTATGAGATGACTTGTGCGTCGGTTGACCTCGTAAGTTGCTAAATGATCTAGGAAGTCCTCTACCTACGATCGAGGTTGTTTGTCGCTATAGAGGTCTGGAGAGCTGCATTGGTTTGAGTTAGGTTTGCTTGGGGACAAGCAAACGGTTAAGTGTGGGGGAGTTTGATAGACCGATAATTATACATGTTTTCACCCATATTCTGAAGCTGTTTGTGATGAGGAATCTCGTGTTTTAAGCCGATTTCACGCTAGGTTGTGTGTTTATGTCATATTTCAGGACCCGGCGTTGGAATCGAGGCGGAGAAACGAGTTCTGGGTTGAAAGGAGCGAAGTTGGGACGAAGGAGGCTGTTGGACCAAAATACCCGGCCAAAGGAAGGAATACCCGACCTGGTATTTTCTGGCCTTGGTCGGGTATTTTTCACTTCGGGCGTCCGTGAGAAACAGAAGGGGGCCCGGGCAAATGGCTTAAATCCCCGGTCGGGGATTATGAAGTCAGACCGGGGATTTTCCCCTTAATTGAAACGGTGCGTTCTGCAAATACCCGGTCGAAACCCGAAATACCCGACCGGGTATTTCGACCGGGTATCGCGACCAGGCAGCTGATAAAAGGAAGAAGAAGGCCAACATTGAAGGGTTCCGAGTTTTTGAGAGAGAAAGCGATTCCTAGAGAGAGAAAGCGACGAACCAGAGGTCCCAAGTGCCATAGCTTGATCTTCATCACCATTGGAGCCCGGCTTGAGCTTGGAGAAGTGCCGATTAAACGTCCAGGAGCAGAAATCCGTCTTCACAGTATGATTTCCGCGTCTGAATCTGCTTTTGCTTCTTTCTCTATGGAGTAGTTCCCCCATTCATCTGGGTATGGGGATCCCTAGATTTGTTTGGTAGGTCTGATTGTATGAACCCAAGTACAGAGTTTGTGAATTGATTATATTCGATTGAGGTTTGAATGATTGAATGACTTGAATCCTGATCAAATTCCTGTTGTTTCTGCTTTGACCTAGAATGAGAATATCTGCCTAGGTTGATAGAGTATCCTTAATCGAAGGTGGCGAATTGGTGACTTTAGTCGAGGAGCCAATTCGCTATTCTGTACCGAAGTCAATTCGGTAGGGGAGGTTTGGTTCGTTAGGGCCTCAATCTGTTTACTCCGGTGGAGGTTAGTCGCCCGCTAGAGACTCAGATTGAGAGGGTCTGAAGACCTTTAGTCGAGACTTCAGGCTAATTAAGAACCTTCCGCAGTATAATTTTCATGAAAACTGAACTTGGTAAGTTGCAATCCGACCTAACTGCAGTCTAGGGGGAACCATATCCGGGTGACCTCTCTTGACTTGAATAACCGTTTACTTGCTTTGTGTTTTTGTTTGCTTGAATTTGCACTAAAAGTTCACTGCTAGATAACGAGAATTCACCGAGTAGTCATCACATCTAGGACCCGGGTTGACAATAAAACCCAAACCCGCTATACTACGCTTTAGGAAGTGGTTACACTTGGCCATTTTCTAGAGTGACAGTAGGAGTGAGTCAAGCATAAGGGCAATATTTTACTATGCCAGGAGAAGAGGAGACAGTGAGATAGCTTGAGGCAATAAATGATGAAAGTAAAGTAAACACCAGTTTGGACTTCACCAATAATTTATGTTGGGAATGAGAATACAGATTCCAGACGGTTCTCGCTACTTATTCAAGATTTCTTATGCAACGTCAACTTGTTACAACAACAAAAAAAAACACAATAGGACCAACCCCACTGGATCATTCTAGTGAACTTACCAGCATCCTTTTGTTCCTCTGCCACTGCAATTGATAGTATACAAATGAGAGAAGAAATCAAAGGGAATTTAATTTCTTTTTTCCCTGAAAATAGACAGATACTGTCTGTCGTCTTCCTTGCCTCGCTCTCCGTCGGATTGATGGAAACAAAAAGTACCGGCAAACTTCCCTGCTAACGACGTTTCTAGAGTGGAAAAGAGCCCTGGTGAATTGCTTGTGTTTGCAGTAGGATATGTGGTATTCTCTGTATGTGGTTTCTTTTGAATTCCTGGTGGAAGGAGTGGACCCAGCCGGAGAAGGGATGTGGATGTTGGAGCCGACGGGGTGTGCGATATTGAGGTATCTCGATCTGAAAGGGGAGAAGCGCAGGCAGACGGGTGGCGATATTGTCGGGGAAAATTTCTGTTGTCTTTTATAGATTTTTGAACCTGGATATAAATGAGCACTAGCGGAAGCAAACTCAATATGAAATCGAACAAGAAAATAGAGAAGAGAATGAACAAAGACAAGACACCAATTTTACGTGGAAAACCCTCCAAAGAGGAGAGAGAAAAACCACGGGCTGGACAAGCCAGTAAATCCACTATGATCAAGGAATAATCTTCAACGTACAAAGTTGTGGAGTAAGTAGAAAACTCCCAACATAAAATAAAAGTACTCAAGAAGATATTCTACACTTTAGGAGAATAAAGGAGTTGGAAGAAATTGGTGTCTATTCAACAACAATAGACTCTCTATTTATAGCCATGTAAAATGGCTTATGAGATGCCAAAGAAAAAGTGAACGGCACTCCCATTAACCAAATGGAAACTCCACACAATTAACTCCATGTGGTCATTAACTTTCATAACCCCAAGTAACCTCAAGTGTCTTCCATAACTCCAAGTCTTGGAATTAATTTGAGGCATCAATACCAACACTTTCGTCACAGGAGGATGGGATACCGGCGGGAATCGCGATGGCTGAGAGAAAGAAGTACAGGGGAATTTGTAGGAGGGTAGGAGGAAGCGATTTTGATTTTCTCAACAGTCAAACGATGAGGAGGGCGTGGGAGGAGTTTAGTGGAGGCAAATCGAGCAGGTTGGCAATGGAGATCGGTTTGGCGACCGAGAATACTGACAAACCTTTTGTTCTTCATAGTCTGCCGGAGAAGGAAAGAGAGGAAGACGATGGGCGCTACATCTTTTTTTTTCAGGAAAAATCTTAATTAATAAGAGGAATTGGAAAAAACCGTGTCTCGCAAAATTTAACGCATTTAGCAAGGCAATAAAAATTAAAAAGAAATAAATAACTTCCTTTTTTTTTTGGACAAAAGATAGCTTGTATTACCAAGAAACAAAGATCACAAACGGTTACATCTCCGAATGGAGCCAAACGCAAAAATCAAACCCCCCGATAAGAGTAGGATACAAAGAAAGGGCCTTCCTAGCCACCCTATGGGCTACCCTATTGTTATCCCTACCTACAAATCGGAGAACATCCACATCCACCGCAGCCAACAAGCCCTGGACATCCTGCAACACTGCTCCTCCATAGAAATCCCACGTATTGCCGGCCAAAATCTTGTCGATAACTACCTTAGCATCCCCCTGGTAGCACACACCTTGCACACCCATCGACCGACACCACAAGATTGCCTCACGGAAGCAACTCCACCAGCATTGGATCCGTAATCTCCGCCCATCCCTTTCCCAAAGCTCTAACCACCACCCCATCTGGCCCTTGTACAACAATCCCCACAGCAGAGTGCGATGCCTGACGGACTGCTCCATCAAAGGAGCACACCCAAGACACCCCCGGAGGAGGCCGATGTGGATCCAAAGGCAGCATCCGTCGCTGTGCTTGAAGTCTGACCTCTGCCATCCTCGTCATCTGCTGCCATTCCTCAACCTGAACTAACCACTGGTTACGCAAAACCTCCCTAGTATATTGGCATCCCTCAAACACCACCCAGTTGCGAGATTTCCACACCCGCCACAGCAGAGAGACAAAACGCATAATAACCCCCCTCATTGGTCACTTCTCCAGCAGCCGCCGAACAGATAGCCCCACGTTCTCCTCTGGGAGCCCAAACCGGATATCCACCAGCCCTGACTCCGCCCATAACTCCTTAGCCACAGGACATTGTAGGAACAAATGCTCTAGGGTTTCCACCTCATGCCAACACACCGGGCATCGCTCCAGCACCTCAATCTCTCGAACAATAAAGGCCTCCGTCATCGGCAAGATCCTGCTCATGACCTGCCACATAAAAAACCTGAGCTTCGGCGGAATCCCAAGATTCCACAACTTCCTCCACAAGGTAGAATCCATCCAAGATGGCTCACACTTCCCCTTTCATCGGCTCCTGTTCAGACTCATCGCCAAATGATATTCGGGCTTAACCGTATACTCCCCTGTTCGGTCCTCATGTCAGATCAGCTTGTCTCGGACAGGCAACCATGGGAGAACAATCGATTTAATAGCCCTCACGACCTCAGGGGCAAAGCAATTGGCCAAGCAATCATCACACCACGTCCCTGGTTCTTCCCCCATCAGACCGGCCATCGTAGCACCCTCCCAAAGATGAGCCGAGGGCAACACCATCGGAGGATTAGTATGACACCCCCGGGACCCAATTTGCTGTCATAATCTCCACCTCCTCCCTCGACCCTACTTGCCATCGGAGGCCTGCCTTTAACAGCTGTACCCCATGCAAGACGCTCTGCCACCCCCAAGACGGTCTCGACCGCGCTGTCGCCGCCAAAAGCGTTCTGTTCGGATAATATTTCCCTTTATAGATTCGAGCAAGCAACGAGTCCGAATCTTGAATAATCCGCCATCCAACCTTCGCAAGTAGAGCTTGATTAAACTGCTCAAAACGACGGAAACCCAATCCCCCATCTTTCTTACTTCGACACAATTTTCTCCATGACATCCAATGAATTCTATGAATCGACCACCCCACCAGAAGCGAGCCATATACTTATCAAGGCGACGACAAAGCGTCACCGGAAGCTTAAAACATGCCATAACATAGACAGGCAATGCCGCCGCCACTGACTTTAACAGAGTCTCCTTCGCCGCCCAGGATAAGTGCCGCTGCTTCCATCCTTGCAACTTCTGCAAAAGCTTCTCCTCCAGGAAGCGGAATGTTTCAGACTTCGAACGAGAAATTAAGGTGGGCAGTCCTAGGTACTTATCCTGGACCCCCCATAGCCCCAACCCCCAATCGAGCTGCCATAGCCTCACAATCCTCCTGGAGAACATTGCGACTAAAGCAAACCGCAGACTTATCCAAATTGACCCGCTGACCACTCAATTCCTCATATTCTCCCAATACTTGGAGCAGATTCTCACACTGTTGCATCGAGGCTTGCACAAATATATATGAATCATCTGCGAAGAATAAATTAGTCATCCTAGGTGCTTGCGGGCTAACCCGCACACCCGTTAACCGCCTTTCCAACACCGCTTTTTTAATCAATGCAGCGGATCCTCCTGTCGCAGGCCCCGGGATGACCGAAAATACCCTGCAGGCATTCCATTCATCATGACGGAGTAGGATGATGACGAAATACATTCATGAATCCACTTGACCCACTGCTCCCCAAACCCCAGCTTCTTCAAGAGCGAAAGTAAGAACGACCACTCGACCCTGTCATAGGCCTTTTCCATATCAACCTTTAGTGCCATGTAGCCCTTCTTCCCTTTCGTCTTAATTTTAAGATAGTGCAGGATTTCATGCCCAATCAGAACGTTATCAACAATCTGCCTCTCCTTGATAAAAGCATTTTGCTCAGGAGAAACAACAGCTGGTAACACCAACGCAAGTCGATTTGCTAAGATCTTCGAGATAATCTTATAAATGACTTGGCATAGGATGATCGGCCTCAATTGGCGCATCGTCTCTACTTCTTCCACTTTAGGAATTAACGTAATCCACGTGTGATTAAAGATTCGGAGAAGTTTTCCATTCGCAAAGAAAGACCCCACCGCCTCCACCACCAAGGGCCCTACTCCTTATACGACCGAAAGAATTTTGCCGTGAACCCATCAGACCCTGGCGCTTGCGTCGGCCCAATCGAAAAAACCGTACGCCAGATCTCGTCGGCCGGGACAGGGGCAACCAGCTTTTGGTTCATATCGGTCGTGACCAGCCTCTCAATAGGCAGCGCCGCCACCCTAGCATCCACATCCCCAATATGGAGTTCAGACGTAAACAGATTATCAAAAAACTCGACCGCCATTTTAGCTTATCCGGCTCTTCTTCGACCCATCCACCA